TGCGTGCGTTGGCCGCCGAGAAAACGTTGCGATGCGGGGAAAGTGACACACTTCAAGGTGTGTGCGACTACTAGACTGAACCGGGAAGCAAGAAAGCAATGCCTAAGCTAGGGCCTAAAAAATTAGATGTTATTACAAGGCCTCAGGCCTGGACTTTACAACAAAATTTGTCAGGGTCATACATGAACTAACTCTGGTATGATTCCAATTAATTTCCAATATTTATAGCTCTGTAAACCGGAAGAAATATATCTGTGATTCGCACACCAAACCTCGCGACTTATACACATCTAGATGTGTATAAGAGACAGCTCTAAGCCCGCGCGCCAGTGGAGTTGTGTTATGTGGTTACGCATCATTGCACTCTGCCATTATTGTTATCTGTAGCTGCGTGTTTTCCGTGCAGCAAAATCAGTCTCTTATACACATCTTCTACCTTTATGTACGTCCTATTTTGGTAAACTTTTAGTATGTTGTTTTACATATAATTAAGTTTATATTTAGATCATAAAACGTTTTGTTGCAATTTTGTCCAGTCAAATCCGTATTTCCGGTGGACTAAGATAACAATAGGTGCAGGTAAGTTTCCGCAGTTAAATAAACACAAAAAGTTCCAGAACAGGAAATTCAAATGTTGATATGTGTGCGTTTATGACTTATGAGGCCGAAGTTTGCTTTAAAGTATCTGCCACACACTGGGCATTGGTGATCAGTTGTATTACACAGTGTTTTTTCTCTGTCTTTTCTTGCTTCTCGTTTTGCTTTAGCATAAGCGATGCGTTTCTGTTCAAACCTCTTTACTCCATCTTGCACAGTGTTTCTCCAAGAAGACCTACAGTATCAACAGCCTGTGTTTCCCATAAGGTCACATCAATGTTGCATTGTTTCAATGATTTTTTCAGTGTGTCTTTGAATCTTTTTTGTTGACCGCCGCAAGATCTTTCGCCTGAGCTCAGTTCACCATACAGAAGTTGTTTCGGGATACGTTCATCAGGCATTCTAATACAATGGCCTGTCCATCGTAGCTGGTGTTTGTTAAGAGTTGCAAATATACTTAACATATGACTTGAGGATAAAGTCTGTGTCTGGAATTTTCTGATGCCATTTGATATTTAAAATCCTCCGCAAGCTTACAAGATAGAAGTGATTTAGCTTGCGTGCATGACGTTGGTAAACTGTCCAGGTCTCGCTGGCATAGAGAAGAGCTGTTAATACTACAGCTTGGTATACTCTAAGCTTGATTTTGATTTTTATTCCTCGGCGCTTCCATACATTTGAGGTAAGTCTTCCAAAAGCAACACTTGCTTTCGCTATTCGACAGTTTACTTCATCGTCAATCTTTCCAATTTGAGATAGTGTGCTGCCAAGGTATGTGAATTTGTCAACAAACTCTAACTCTTCTCCGTTGACAAGAGTAGCTTGAGGAGAGCATTGTTGGTTTGTTGGGGGTTGGAATAGCACTTTTTTTTTATATTGATTTCAAAGCCATAGTTGGTGCAGCTATTTGAGAAAGCCTCCAAGTTATGTTGCATATTGGTGTGGGAGCAAGTTGGTAGTGCAGCATCATCAGCAAACAACAAATTACGAATTTTGGTGGTATTTACCTTTGTAATTGCGCGGAGCCGTGAGGTTGAAGAGACCACCGTCAAGGCGGTAATGAACATCAACTCCCAGATCTTGCGCATTATAAGCACTAATCAGCATTGCAGAAAATACCATACTGAAGAGAACTGGTGCTAGTACGTCTCCTTTGGTCACATCAAAGGGTTTGGAGTGATTGCCGTTGTCAGAGACGAATGCCTTCATTCCGTCATGGAACTGTCGTACCATAGTTATAATTTTGTTTGGACAGCCAAACTTGCTCATGATTTTCCATAGTCCGCCTCTACATACAGAATCAAATGCTTTAGTCAGGTCTACGAATGTTACGTAGAGTTCTTGATGTTGCTCAATGCATTTCTCCTGGATTTGGCGAGCAGCAAAAATCATGTCCATAGTGCCTCTGAACTTTCTAAACCCACACTGACTTTCTGGTAACAGAGCCTCTTGCTGAAGGTGTAAGACTAGACGGTTGAGGATTAGTCGGGCAAATATCTTCCCGGCAATCGAAAGCAGTGAGATACCTCTGTGATTGTCACATATGACTGTCTTGCATGTCTCTCAGTTCATGTTTCGTACAAATTACAGCTCCCACTGACGTCTCAGTCGAGAAATACGGGTAGCTGAAGTTTTTCTCGCAAATCTGATTACGAAACCATATCCAAATTTCACGTGCCACTTTTGACCATGAGTTGTGCTTCGCACTCGCCGCTGAGGGCGGAGTTCCGGGAACCCTGCGTCCAGGTGGCGATTTTTTTTTCCGTACGAAAACATTTGCATGAAACTCCACTCGGGTTGTCTCGACTGACTCGACTCGAAAATCGCAATTCTGGAGGTCAAAATGTCATCAACCAAAGATAAACGTCTACAAAACTTCTAAGATACAGGATTGCTGCTCGCTGTCTGATTTTGAAAAAAACACATTGCCATTCTAATTTAAGATCAGTATACGTACAAACACGCGCTAGATATCGGTATCATTTCTCCGTAAACAAAACAAAACAAAAAATATGTTTTTTCTTTCCTTTTAATAATAAATAATTAATTGAACAGAGAGTAAGATACCATATTATGTAAGGTAGTACATTCTCAATTGTATGTTTACTACAGTATATCACATGTATTGCGTTGGTTTGCCTCAGACAATATTTCCACGACAGGGCCTCCCATTAATGTACAGTATTCCGTTACGGAAGGTAGGACGACTACCAGATTTATAGGCTTTTGACATTAGGTCATTTACGCTTTTCTCTGACGTCTGCAAGATGCATTGCATAGAAATATTCACCCTTTAATTCTTTGGTTTTCTTTAATACGGAAGATCGCTGATGTCTATAAAAATCTGTAATGTGTCTTGGCTTTTCAGCATTCCCAGTTGGTGTGCCAGTTTTGTGCGCATGCTCAATTACGATGTCTTCTAATCTATTACGTATTACCTCCTGTATTTTCATTGTATTTTCATTGTTTTCCTCTTTTATTTCTCCAAATCTTAAGTTGTAACTTCTCGAATGTCGTTCAAGCCTTATTAGATCATATTGAAGTTCAGTGATGGATTTGTGTTTTTCTTTTCTTTTTATTTCCATACTATTTAATTTAGTAGTAAGATCGCTTACTTTCTTTCCCGTTTTAGATG